TGAACCCACCGAAATGGAAAGCGACCACTGCCCATAGACGTCCGCAATTGCAGATGCGTTGCCTACCCTTCATTGACGGAGGAGTAGATGCACATAAAGGGGGATATTTCCCCTTCCTACGCGTCTCTTCCACCATCAAATCCACTTAGATAATTAATTAATTTGATGACATTTAATTAATGATAATTTGGAGGACAAAAATACTACAGGAGTAGAATAAGGAGGAAGACGAAGAGTATTGAAATGTTTAACGCAAAACATGCATTTCTTACATATTTTTAATTACATAGGATTACGTTATTAAGACATTTCACGATTCAAAGGTTTTTTTCAAAGATGATACTTTGAAAACATGTTGTTGCAAATGTTTCGGCAATGGAAACGCAAAGGTTTAACAATGAACACATAAAATATATACCTGTGTTATTTTCCGTTGTAGTAAGATTAGTTTCATTTGGTGCTAATGTTTTCAAAAAGTCACTTATATTAAAATCTTGCTTCTCACTTGACCTGTTGTTTATAACTTCTATTTTGTTTGCTAAAAAATTGCATTAAATTTAAATAATACCTACTTTTCATCATCTTATTAAAAACGAACTTATAAGAACGTCGGTGGCTCGGTGGTTTAAGCACTTCACTTATAAACTACAAGTCTTGGGTTCGAATCCCGCCGTGTACCAATGTGATTTTCGATTTTTCGAATTTTCATAGGTACATAATTTACCCGGCTTTCTTACGGTGAAGGAAAACATCGTGATGCCTGCACTCATCGGCGAAGTAATTCAAAGATATGTGTGAAGACCACCAACCCGCAGTGGGTTAGCGTGGTAGACTATGACCTAGTCACCCTTACTTAGGGTAGGCTCTGAGCCCCTCGGTGGGGACCTGTAGCGAGCTGGTGATGATGATGATGATAACCTTATTATTTACCCGAATGAAAAAGATATATTATTTGCATTTATGTAAGTTTTTTAATATAAATGGTTTTGTATGTAAATTCCAGTGTAACTGCCTATAGCCTAAACCAATTTTTACAAATAAGGTGTCATTTGATTGCACAATGGCACCAAACACATATAGTGCATGAAAAAAATTAAAAATTAGAATGCCAGGATGCAATTTTTTTAATCTTAATAAATCCAAGACAATTTATCTATCTATACTTCTATATTATTATAATAAAGCGTAAACACATACTTCTTTGTTGCCTAAGATGTCAGGAATTACAACATATTTTTGAATAATCCTCTTTTTAATAAAAAGCCCTACATTTTTACGCCGTTAAACTTAAGGGGTAAATATTTTGGATAAAAACCCTAATGTGGAAAGAGACCATAAGTTGCTGCCAACATCAAGGAAGCAAGATTGCCAAGTTTTGTCATGTCATGTCATTTTGACATTTGTAATTGATACTTTGACAAATGTGAACAATAAAATGAAATTTTTATAATTTCATGCGGATGAAGTCGCACGAGAACAGCTAGTTATTTAATATACTTACAATTATTAAGCTCGTCTGAGGTATTAAAGAGTGACAGAGGATTCTCCGACGTTAAGAACGACGATAATCCCAGATTATACAAAGATCCGTCCGCTGCCAACGATGTGTTGAATGTTCTGTCTATATTGTATGATACTGAAAAACATATAATATATTAAATTAACTAAAAGATTTCGTATTAAGTTGTTTCTGTTTTTATATTTTAAACTATCAGTACTGCACTCAAATTCCTTTAATGTTAATTAGTAATGTATTTTTAAGTAACCAATTATTGGTTTTGAATGTGCCAGTTTTGCTATATTAAGCGAATGTCCCACTAGTGGCTGACAGAGGCTCAGATAGCTTAAAAATGACGTTACGGTCAGATAAGGGAACAAAATCCGATATTCCCATCACATATGTTACAAGTTCGATCAGACAATATACAATTTGGGGGGCAGGCTCTAAATTTCATCTTATCTTAGTAATCTTACTAATATTACAAATGCGAAAGTTGCGATGGATGGATGGATTTTTGTAAGAGTTTGTAGCCTTAACTGCTGAATGAATCTTGATGAAATTTGGCATAGACGTAGAGGATAGTCTGGAAGCATGCATAGGCTACTCAAATTGTTTTTT